CGTTTCATAATATCCATTATTTCGTAATTCGTATCCGAAACTCAATTCGGATTCGTACGAAATACGTATTTTCGTTAGTTTCGGCACATTTTCGTAACTTTACGAACATTCGTTACAATGAAGTTAAAAAGCAAAAATACCTTTGTTAATATTGGAGTCGATGTGGTAGTTGTTTTTGTATCCGAAATCCAAATTTCGTATTTCGGACTTTAAAAAAAACTACCATCAACTCCAATATAAATGTACTTTGCTTTTTAACTTCAATATATAACGAATGTTCATAACGGAACGAAAATACGTCAACGGAATTTCGTATTTCCTGCCTGTGTATTGTAATGCATCAGCAGCAGCGGATCCGTATTTCGGATTTAAAAAAAAATCTTGTCATGTTGTTCAACCTCATGTTGTTCATTTACAGGGGTAATATTAGTTCCCGTTTCAAAGAAATTCGGATCCGAAATTCGTTAACGGAATTTCGTATTTCGGATATAATTCGGAAACTGCAATTCGGATTTCGGATGTTTACGAATCTACGAATTTCAGGAAAATTTGTACGAATTTCAATTCGTAACGAAACAAATCGCACATGTCTAGTGCTAAGGAACCTCCTTCACCAAGGCACAATATATTGAAGAACATTCAACTGGAGTAAATAACCAAAAAAGTCACCAGCACTCGAAACTTGAAAGCAGCAATGTCCCTTTATTGGACAAACAGTCTCATGAAGAAGACGACGTTTCGGGGCCGCACACAGTCCCTTCTTCAAGGCAGAAAGTATGACATATCGTATCATGAGTATCATGAGTATCATACTTTCTGCCTTGAAGAAGGGACCCTGTGCGGCCCCGAAACGTCGTCTTCTTCATGACACTGTTTGTCCAATAAAGGGACATTGCTGCTTTCAAGTTTCGAGTGCTGGTGACTTTTTTGGTTATTTACTCTGTGTTTGCGCGGTGCCATCCGTGTATCGAGTCACTTCGAGCACCATCATCCTTTAATTGGCCGGGACTGCTGTGGGGTGTGCGGAGGGCTCTCTCCTATTTTTGCATTTAACTGGAGTGACGCCTCCAAAAGGTTAAAGTAAAAACAAAAGGAGTATAAGCACTATTCCTGGCATAAGCTTGCCATAAGCCAAGTATTCTGTGCTATACTCTGTAATAATAGTATTTGGACTCTCAACCATTTGCGTGATGCTCCTTCTCTTCCGAGTCTCCCAGTTTCCCGAGAACATTTATTTTCTATCGATGAACGCTACGTCCACCTTATTTGATGGGCAGATCTGATGAAGCAAGCTTGTACTTATCAGATGTACTTTCGCATGTTCCTGTTACTTATTTTTCTCATCCATGGTGTACAGATGTGCATGACTTCACCGAAACGTATCAAGGAACCATTTGCAAACTGTAAGCATTACACAATAATAGGGGAATTGCATCACTAAGCTCTAAATATAGAGATATATATATTCCCTCATTTGTAATACATATGTGCACATGTTGTGTGCGGGATCCCGGTGCCCCTCTTTCTTTACAACCTCCTTTGGGTTTCCTGAATGCACATTTTATTAAAAGGACACATTTTGCTTCAAGCTACCAGTGAAGTAATAAATCCCATGAAGCGAGATTAATTGGAGACCGTTACTGTATTGTAAAGGTTGGGAGACATTACAGTGTTCCTTCAGTAAAAACCCAGAAAATTATGTTGTGATGTATGTTTGGGAATGATCCAGAGACAAGTGCAAAATGCAATTTTCAGCGCAGGGTTCCAACATGTTGGCACTTTTTAAATGCATGTTAATGGAAATTCCGGTCATTAGGATCAATGTTTCAGGTTTAGGTTTCTCAAAACATTTCTCGGTGGTACCACCAGTAGTGGCTACGCAGCCCAGGACTCTTGACTGCTAGGAATCATAGTTAACCACTGACGTGTAATTTTCACCATTTTTAATTCCCCGCCCTCTTGCCACCAAATAAATTAAAGGAGAATTATGAGGCGAACCTCATAGTTCTAGCCGACGTGTGACAATGAAACTGTCACAGGTCGGCTCAGTAGATCGGGAAGTGAGCGAACACATACCGTCGCCTCCTCACTTTTCGATCTAAGCGGGCAGAGAGCTGTGACGGTCACTCACGGTTCCCTGCAGGGATTCCCCCCCCCGATCCTCCAGCGCTGACTGGCGGAATGGACGGGGGAGGGGGCGGGTACAGCTGGCTCTGCCTCTAGATAGGCAGAGCCAGCTGTTACTCACGCAGCTGGGTGGATCCAGACAGAATTGTCGGGATCCGTTTCGGCTGCGGCATACTGAGCTCGCGGTATACTGAGTTTTGGGTGACGGGAGGACACTGGTTTGTCTCCTCCCGTTACCCTTAGGAGAACTATGGGGAAAAGCCCTGACCCCATAGTTCTCCTTTAATGGACACATTCCAATTTTTGGAAGGGCAAGGCCAACATTTTATTGACTTTAACATTATAATTCCACACTTCTTTAATGTTGTACATTCATGTGTGCCGGTCACAGATAAACGGTGAGCACCCAAACAACATCAACCTTACGACCACCTGTCTTCACCATCAGTTCTAGACAGAAGTCCAACCATCCAGATATTTCCACCAACTGTCAATGTGATAACAGATTAAGCTGAGCTGGCAAGGTCAAAAACTGCCAACAAAACTCGAGAAACTGTGACAAACTCGAGGAAAGAGGAAGGGTGGGTGGCCATGTTCAGCTTGCTGGTCAACTCCAAAGAGGCCAACAAGCTCCCCCTTCCCCTTAGCCTTTTAACACCTAGCCAATTCTCCGCCTACTACCACATCTTAACCAATCAGCAGATGGTTACAGTTGCCTCCAGGGAGGGGTTTGTACTATTGACCCCTCTCAGTTTCATGATTCCAGCAGTCGAGGTTTCCTTTCCTAAAAGGAATAGAGACCTGCCACTAGGCCTTTTAACACCTAGCCATCTCTCTGCCTATTACACCATCTTCTCCAATCAGCAGATGGTTACAGTTGCATCCAGGGAGGGGTTTGTACTATTGACCCCACTCAGTTTCATGATTCCAGCAGTCCAGACTTCCTTTCCTTAAAGGAATAGAGACCTGCCACTAATAATAAAAATGTCAGTTGTCTACTCTCTAACAAAGCAATTAAAACCCAATGGAAGTTTCAGTTCTTCCCCACTCTATTCCAAAATTCAATTTTTTACTTTACATACACTGAATTATAATAAACTTCTCTTAGTCAGTCCATTTTGGGTTGTTAAATATACCATTGAAATTGTTTTGTTGTATCTGTTTGATAAATTGATCCTGCCAGGACTTGGTTCTTTTTTGTGTTCCCTGTGACAACACTACCCACTTTTGTAGGAGCCTTGTCACTCCAGGGGCAGGTCCTGAAGCCTTACACTAAGTCAAATGGTCCCTGCGTGCTGTAGCTTATACTCTGTCTACTGCTCAGTTGTGCATCTAGGATTACAGAATTGTGGTAATGTGATTGAGGACCACGGATCAATGAAATTTATTTTTGGTCTTTTAAGAAGAAAGCAGTGGTATGTTTGGTGTTTGTTTTAGGCTTTACCCTCACAGAGTGAAGGGGTCCTTTTAGAGCCCTGGTACCCAAACTGCACCCAACACTGCTTACACCTATTGTAATTATGATGAACTTAAATGGGCAAGTTACAATCTGTGCTGATGATATGTCTAGATTTTTTTTAGCTCTATGGTTTTACACGTTTCATACTCCGATCAGCCATAACATTATGCCCACCCCTCTAATATTGAGTAGGTCCCCCTTTTGCTGTCAAAACAGCCCTGACCCATTGAGGCATGGACTCCACTAGATCTGTGAAGGTATGCTGTGGTATATGGGACCAAGCCTTCAGTAGAAGATCCTGTAAGTTGCGATTTGGGGCCTTCATGGATCCAGCTGCGATGCTCTGTGTTTTCAGACACCTTTGTATCGGAAACCAGTATTCACTTTTTCAACAATTTGAGCTACAGTAGCTCTTCTATTGGATCGGAATACAGCCTTTTCTCCCACCATGCATCAATGAGTCTTGGCCACCGATGACACTGTCGCTGGTTCATTGGTTTTCCTTCCTTGCACCACCTTTGGTTGGTCCTGACCATTGCAGAACGGGAATATCCCACAAGAGCTGCAGTTTTGGAGTTGTTCTGACCCAGTCGTCTAGACATCACAATTTGGCCCTTGTCAGAGTCACTCAAATCCTCACACGTGCCCATTATTTCTGCTTCCAACACATTAACTTCAGGGACAAAATGTTTACTTGCTGCCGAATATATCCCCCCCACTTCCAGGTGCCATTGTAATATATCCCCCCCACTTCCAGGTACCATTGTAATATATCATCCCCACTTCCAGGTGCCATTGTAATATATCCCCCCACTTCCAGGTGCCATTGTAATATATCCCCCCACTTCCAGGTGCCGCTATAAGATATCCCCCCAATTCCAGGTGTCATCGTGATATATCCCCCCCAATTCCAGGGACCATTGTAACCAGATCATCAATGTTATTCACTTCTCCTCTCAGTGGTCATAATGTTACGGCTGATAGGTGTATACGCAAACTGTTTTCCCCCCAATTGTCTTGGTAGAATGTTTTGAAGAGGATGAGGAAGTAATACCATCTATCCTAGAAACACGGTTTGAGACTCTACTGTGGGCGAATCAATGACTTACCAGACTCCATTTTGTAGCTATGCATGTTTATTTATAGATTGTGACCTTGTATTTGAAAAGAATCGACTGGTGGTGGGGACCTTCTGGTGAGCTGGGTCATTTGTAAAATGTTTGATGGTAACATTTGACAGTAATCCCTTTGATATGAATGTTTGAGTGATGATAGTGATAACCTTCCTTTAAGGTCAATGCTCGGAAACTCTTAAGGACTAGATTATTTATTTCATTATCAATAGCAGTGACATGCTGACAAATGAATTGCTTATGGAGAAGGTCAAGGAATCACACTAATATTTATGTTGCAGGGCTTACTTAGATCTAAATGAACTGAAACATCGTCTCAATGTGACTGGTTCAACGCAGCTCAACATATTTTTTGCCAATTCATCGGAAGAGGAGCTGGCCGGGTTGGCCACCTGGCCTTGGGACAAAGAGGTCCTCACAGATCTCGGTACGTTGTGCTTTGCTATTATGGACTCTTTGCAAACTTTGTGTTTTTCATTTAAAGGGTAAGTGCATTCATAACAAAGTAAACTTATTCTTTTGGCCCCCCTTTATTGACCCAAACAAGACCACTGTCCTCCTCCCCTGATGCATACTTACCTCAACCTGGCACCATGGACTCTGCTGTCTGTTTGCATGCGGACCCAAACATCTTTTGTGGTCTGGACATGTCTGTGCAGTAGCTACCATATTATTCTATGGGCTTGTGTCTTGAGGTTGAAGACATTTAGGCTACAGCCCTGTAGAAGTCTACCAGAAGCTACAGCATGGGAGCTACCAGCGTCCAGATATATACTAACAGCAGAGGCTATTGATGGAGGATCAAGGTAAGTGTCACGCTCTGTGATCAGGCTCGGAGTCCAGTAGCTGACACAGCAGGCAAATTTGTGGTATAACAGGCCGGGTTTGGTACACAAGCAGAGGGTAGTGGTGGAGGAGCAGGCAGAAGCGTAGTCAGCGAACAAGCCGTGGTCAGTAGCCAAAGGTATCAGGTATGAAGTGGAAGACGATGAGAGTAGTCAGTGAATCAGCAGCCAAAGGTCGGTACACGGGTAGCAGTATGAGTAGATTGTAGCACAGAGGGAGCAGGAGCAAGATAATGGCAGGAGCACAATAATCTGGCAAACAGGAAGTGCAGAGGCGGGGCTTAAATAGGGAGTTCAAGGGAGGAGCAAAAAGTTCAGAGTTCAGCAGAGACTACCTTAAACTGAGTATTACACAGGAGATCAGGCAAGGAGCTATCCAAGGTTCTAAGGTGGCTCAACAGGTAGAACCACTGCCAGTTACAGCAGAGGCCCTGGGTTCAGATCTGGTTCCTGACAGTAAGTATGCATCTGGGGGGTGGCTTTGTTTGGGTCAGGGGAGCAAAAAGTTAATTCAAGTGTACTTATACTTTAACAGTTCAAGAATAAATGCACCTTTAAGATAAAAACAAAATGAGTAATTTAGCTCCTTTTACCCAGCGGATCATTCTCAGAAGAACTAAATAACTATATCCAACTCTTCCCTAGGTAGTGGGTGTACAGATGGAAGGAAATTCTTCTGGAGTGGGCTGGAGAGGCAGTCAGCCTAAACTACATTTGTGTATAGAAGGGCATCCCTGGTAAACCTTTGGAGGGTCTTTCCTGAAAGAGATTCGGGGACTGGGACCATGCACATCGAGAGGCATCTTGGGGATGCCTTGTGTAGTTATAAACAGAAGTCCTGGGCCTGATGACATGCAGATTAGCCTGCTTACCGGAAATAGGAGGTTGCCAGCAGAACCTTCAAAGGAATGTAGAAGAAAATTAAAACAAAAGGTTGTATTTGCAAACTTGCTTGATTTGCATGAAAACATAAAAGTCTATACAAAGTGCATTTCTTCTGAGACTTATACCATGCAAATATGTATACTATTGCATATTTTAAAAATGTTATCTTTATATTTGCCCAATGCAATTAAAGAAGACAATACCCTGTTTGCCATTATATGAAAGGCTGCTGGAGATGCCCAGACTCCAGATTTTCATTTCTGTCTGTCTCTGTTGCATTGAGTGGCAGCCATACAGTGGAAGGGTGCATACATACATGGAAAGTATGCCAAGCTTAGCATTCTTGCACATGGCAGACTAAGGGTGACCATACATGGATAGAATTTGTCTGTTTCCTGCCGAATCGGCCCCATTCGATCCATGGGTGGTCCTGTGGGCACCAAGTGTGTCTGTGTCTCTCTTGCAGTGAGTGGCAGCCATAATATGCAAGGGTGCATAGTATACATTATGGAAAATGTGCCAAGCTTAGCATTCTTGCACATGGCAGACTAAGGGTGGTCATACATGGATCGAATTTTGTCTGTTTCCTGCCAAATCAGCCTCATTTGATCCATGGGTGGTCCTGTTGGCACCGCGTGGTTTGGCAAAAAGTTGACTTTTGTCAAAGGAGATGTCGAAAAACATTAACTATCGGGGGAAATCCCTCCATCTACGCTCTTTAGTGTGGATGGGGGAACCAAGTGATTTCTTTCACAGGGCTGAACGAGAAAAGACTTAACATGTATGGCCAGCTTTACCTAAGGATTTGTCCTCCTCTAATGCCGAAAGCCTTGCGACCTCCATCTGCTAGGCCTTTAAGAAATTGATGCCATAAAACAGTGCACATTGCCTAACTGGAATCACTCTTCTTGCGCATGAATAGATGTTTATTGTCTTTTTCAGGTGGAATCGTCATGAACCCATCTTTTTTCGGAGTCCCTGGCCATACTCATACCATGATCCATGAAATTGGGCACAGCCTGGGACTGTACCATATCTTCCGTGGCATCTCAGAAATTCTATCCTGCAGCGACCCGTGCATGGAGACGGATCCTTCCTACGAAACAGGGGATCTGTGCAGTGACACCAACCCATCCCCTAAGCATAAGAGTTGTGGAGATCCTCTGCCCGGACCCGGGAACGAGACTTGTGGCTTTCAAAAGTTTGTCAATACTCCGTATAATAACTACATGAGCTATGCAGGTAAGAAATGTGCTTGCAGGAGCAAAAGTCCTTCTGACAATATGCATTTTAGTAATAGAAGCAACACATATTCAAGCTATTTATGCACATATAGACACTGGTGTTAAAGTGTATGTAACCCCTTAAAGAAGAACTATGAGGTGAGTGCTTTTCACTCACCTCATAGTTCTAGCCGACCTGTGACAATGAGACTGTCACAGATCGGCTCAGTAGATCGGGAGGTGAGGGAACACATACTGGCGTTCGCTCACTTCTCGATCCTGTCACGGCTCTCTACCGTGACAGGGGAGGGGCTGGATTCCCCCCTCCCCGCTCCGATCCTCCAGCGCTGACTGGCGGAACGGACGGGGGAGGTGGCGGGTACAGCTGGCTCTGCCTCTAGGGTAGATCCAGACATAATTGTCGGGATCCACTTCAGCTGTGGCGTCTCAGTATACCGCGAGTTGTAGCTCGCGGTATACTGAGCTTAGGGTGACGGGAGGACGCTAGTTTGTGTCCTCCCGTTACCCTAACGAGAACTATGGGGAAAAGCCCTAAACCCCATAGTTGTCCTTTAATCTATTGTTCAGAACGTTGTCATCATGCCTCACTGTATACAGTTTTGTTAGGAAAACCTGTTTTGTGAATCTGTTTCCTACCTGGAGCCTGCAAATCAACCTACCATGTGAGCGCCTTCAGTTGGGCATTGGCCAACTCAAGGATCAAGGCAAGGTTGCTGCCGCTAATTGAGTGGCAGAACATTGTCAGCCTGGAACAGAAAGTGCTGTTACTGTCAGGAACTTCCTGCAAGAAACTTTGCAATTGATTAAAACAAAAAGAATTTGCTGTATGCAGTGATGCATGATGCCAAACATACTGAAAAATATCGCAATAGATAAAGTCCATTATGGAGCTCTTTATAAAAAAAAATCTGCAAGCACCTTCATGTTAGATATCAGTATACAAGGGGGGTGATTTATAAATCCTCTGCCCAGCGTACAGCAGGACGAATGCTGTTACCTTGCCATTACCACCACAAAATGAAGCAGAGGACCATAGGATTGCCATTACCACCACAAAATGAAGCAGAGGACCATAGGATTGCCATTACCACCACTAAATGAAGCAGAGGACCATCGGATTGCCATTACCACCACTAAATGAAGCAGAGGACCACATGATTGCCATTACTGCCACTAGATGAAGCAGAGGATCATAGGATTGCCATGACTGCCACTAGATGAATCAGAGGACCATAGGATTGTCATTATCACCACTAAATGAAGCAGAGGACCACAGGATTGCTATTACTGCCACTAGATGAAGCAGAGGACCATGGGATTGCCATTACCACCACTAAATGAAGCAGAGGACCATAGGATTGCCATTACCGCCACTAGATGAATCAGAGGACCATAGGATTGCCATTACTGCCACTAGATGAATCAGAGGACCATAGGAATGCCATTACGGCCACTAGATGAAGCAGATGACCATAGGATTGCCATTAATGCCACTAGATGAAGCAGAGGACCATAGGATTACCATTACTGCCACTAGATGAAGCAGAGGACCATAGGGTTGCCATTAATGCCACTAGATGAAGCAGATGACCATAGGATTGCCATTAATGCCACTAGATGAAGCAGAGGACCATAGGATTGCCATTCAAGCCACCTGATGAAGCATGGGACCATAGGATTGCCATTACTGCCACTAGATGAAGCAAAGGACCATAGGATTGCCATTACCACCAGTTCCTTCACCAGTTATCAGATCACCAGTTAGGTGCGAGGGGGGGGGGCGTTCCGATTTAAAGAAGCAAAGCTTTGTATCTACCAAGACGTCTGCCTCCAGACTGAGACAGAACAAGGCATTGCAAGTCAATAACGGGGAAGCAAAAAGCTGCAGAGAGAGACCCCAGGCCCAGACAATACTGGTGAATAGTGTCCTCTGTCCTCTGTCTGCCTTGTTTGGCACAGCTTCCCCAATTTCAGGTCCTCTTCAGAAAGTTCTCCGGTTTCAGTCTCTTTCTCTGCTGTTGTTGAAAGCCTTTGGGTTTCTAGAAATCGTCTCTTTCCTGCTTTTAATGATCTTTCCAAGAACAAAAATCATAGTAATATTTAGCTAGTGCACCAAAAACCCTACAGGGAAGGCATAATATCACAAAGGATTTCTAATTGGATTCCATAGGTTACTGCACTTTGCATTGCCTTAGTGCACTATTCCTTGCCATGCCTTGCATTCATTATTGTTTGGTGCTCAGTGATTTGATTGTGGTAAGCCCAACTCTCATCTGAGTCCTAGGTAGGACACCTCCCTTGCTCAGCTCTGCTATCGTAGGCCTATTTGTTTCAAATGTCAGCTGCTTTACCTTAACACTTAAAGACCCCTCCAGGCTGTTTCTAAATCTACCCATGGTGTGCTCATTTTGCTAGGGGGATAGGAATAAGGTGAGATACTTACCTTATCCCTCGCTCCCGTAGGCTTCCTCCTCTCCTTGCAACTGGTCCTCCAAAACCGCTTCACTTTGCTACCAGGCCAGTCACAGCTCTCTGATGTAATCACATAAAATGCGGGACTGACATTCCGGAGCGGAAGAGAGCACCGGCTACCGGAGGAGCGAGGAGTAAGGTATTTGCACTTATTCCTTTTTCTCTCTAGCCAAATGAGCATCTAACCCATGCAGTGCAAGGGGACCCCACTGAATTGGTAAATGTAACAGCAGCCCGGAGTTAGGCTTTAAGCTTAGCTAGGTAATCCCCGACACTAACCTTGGGGCTCACCCAATCTCTAAAGTCGAACTTAGCCCTTCAGCAGCACAGTTGCCATGTACAGTATAGTGCTTGATACTTTTCCCCTTAAGCTACCAGTCTAGTAGCTTTGCTCTGATCCATCGGTGCTCAACAACACTGCACTGTTCTAGAGAATACTTAGTGTTCCAAGCCCCGAAAAAAGAAATCTGAACTCTATTTACTCTACGTTAGGCACTTTCCTTCTTGCACATCCAGTCCCTATTTTGCCAGTAGTGTGTTTGCACATATCCCCCCTCCCCCCACTCCCAGACATGCATGCTTACCTAGGCATTCTGATGGTCAAACAGGTAGACCATGCCATAGCCTTATCACTTCACATCAGGAAGTGCCTGGACAAGCACCTTCATGGCAGGATCATCAGGTATTATTTTAATGGAAGCTGCAGATTCAGAAATATTGAAGGTCATTTTGATGCTACATGTTAAAGATGATATGAGATTTTAGTGATTGGGTTTGGATATACTTTACTTGAATTCTGTATCGTAGGTTGGCTTGTTCTCAGCGAATGGAGCTGGTATCATTTTCCTAATTTATGCAGGTGTTCAAAATCTTTTTAAGTGCTGCTATCCTTGGCAAGTATCTATGGCTTTTTTTTACACTACACTCCTATAAAGGCCATCAATTATGAAGCAAATTCTGGAATGTAGCCTTAAAGCGAATGACAAAAATGTTTAACATCAATGGCAAAACTCACAATCTGGGTTAATGAACGTGTGCATTTTGCTGCCCGGTTTAGTACAGCCAAGCTATTTTACTATGTGGACTGAGACTTTATAGCTAATGAAATTAATGTTTAATGCTAACTCCTTCAGAAAATGCTTGGCATGCTACAGTAGCATTAAGTGGTGATTGCTGTGACAGTGCAAATCACTTAGGTTTCCCAAGGCCAGGTTAAAGCTGAACTCCAGGCAAACACATGAATATACAGATATATGGTGGTTGTTTTACCTGCCAAAGGTTTGTATTACTGGTCATCGAGTCCTGAGAATTCCACATCTCTGCCACACAGCACGGACCATGAGGGAACGGATGAGTAGCACTGGAACCCTAGGATTATCCTATTGGTATTGTTATGCAATAGTGTTGCAGTGATGTTTTAATAGGGTGTCTGGTGGGATGGTGGCTTCTACACACCAAAAGATTTAGGCAGTTTCCTTGGTTTTCAATGGAAAGTGTGTAGAGTGTAGTGCCACACCATGAGTTATTGGTCCAGATATATACACTGCCTGGCCAAAAAAAAAGTCACACACTATTTTGTTGGACCGCCTTTAGCTTTAGCAGTCGCCTTCACATCGTTTCGATAAGCTTATGCAATGTCACAACATTTATTTCCATTCAGAGTAGCGTTCATTTTCCTCCAAGACCTTGTAGTGATGATGGGAAAGTCGAAACACTGCGTAAAGTCTTCTCCAGCACATCCCAAAGATTCTCTATGGGGTTAAGGTCTGGTGGCCAATCCATGTGTGAAGATGATGTCTCATATTCCCTGAACCACTCTTTAACAATCTGAGCCCAATGAATCCTGGCATTGTCATCCTGGAATATGCCCAATGTGCCATCAGAGAAGAAAAAAATCAATTGATGGAAAAACTTGGACTTTCAGTATATTCCGGTAGGCAGCTGACCTCATTTTTTCGGTACCTGACCATCTGACCATCTGAAGCAACCTTAGGTCATAACACTGCTCAAAATCCAGGAGGTGACTTTTTTTTTTTGGCCAGGCACTGTATTTATCCCAATGTAAGTTCAAGTAGATGACGTAATAAAAGAGCCAATATGCTTCGGAGGTCAAATCTCAACCCCCTAATCAGGGGTTGAGGGGGCCCCTAACTCAACCCCCCTATTAAAATTAGGAAGACAGTTTAAATCAACAGGCCTGGACTGAAATAGGGATACCATATATGTGATATTTTAACCAATTTGCATCATATAGCAAAGGGTTTCTCAACAGCTGG